AATGCCGAACTGTCCAGAGACTAATTCGGAACGTCTGGTTGTCTCTTTTGGGGTACATGTGACTCAAGATTCCTTCGACAACCCAGGGACTTCTCAGACTGGGATGGGAGCAGAAGACCATGGGACTCCCCGAATCCCCTGAACTTTGTCTTGTAATCTACGGCGAAATAACCATTTCAGTGGTCCAGTTGACGGCATTCACAGAAAATCATGACATATGACTCATTACATGTTGACAGGATTCTAAAAATCATGTCATCCTGCAAATTTGCTGCAACCTTGCATGCACTTTACACGAATGCAATTGAAGTACCGTACTTCAACACCGGGGAAAGATACTTGGAAGAAGACAGACCTAGTTCGCAGAAGGGGGGAGCCCCCGTCCATTCCTGATCATTTCCACACGTCCGAACGCGCGGACCCCTCAGAATGTAATAGGCATCACAGGAATATTCCACTTTTCTACCGATCCGATATCTTCCGCCTCGGAGGCATTCTGTCTCGTCTCGAACACCTTCTCGATCACGGTAATATATCCTGTAAGCGAAGCACACGGCATCAATGCACCTCTGCACAATACTAAAAACGCAAGTATTATTTTTGCTTCATAAATTAGTTCACGTTTTAACTTCATTTGAAATCCTGGGCTTTTAGAGATATTGGTTCAATATCAAATATTAATGTTATTCCCTTAAAATGATGCGCTAAGAAGCTATCATAAGTTGGCACGGCCGCAACCCTTACGGAACATCCAAATACAGGTATAAGTATAGGACTGAAATTAAGCCATGTTTGGAAACAGTTCAGTCCGTATCATGCATTGGCCATTCTTAATAAATATGAAACTATACATAGTTCACATACAGATTCCCAAATATGGTGCTAGGTTAGCAATATATATGGCACTAATATAAATTATACGCAAAAAATCGTATTCTGGATACTTCCACGAGATCCCCGATCAGTCCTCTGATCTTTCTCTGTACAAATCGTGAAGAGATCCATGGTGCATGGGCCATGTGGTCATCTGAATCCGGCTGCTCCGTGCATGGAGGGGGATGTGGACAGACGATGTTCGAAGGGGTATCCAAAGAATTTCTTGACGGAAACCTTAGCCAATGACGATGGCTTCCCCAAGTATCGTCGTCGTGACAACAACATGACGATGGTGATTGGAACTCATGAGGTGGACAACCGGTGGATTGTTCCCTAAAATCCTTACCTCCTCAAGAAGAACAATGCCCATATCAATCTGAAAATATGCTCCAGTGTAAAGAACTTCAAGTATCTTTACAAGTATATTTTCAAAGGGCATGACTGTGCAGGAGTCCAGCTGAGAATGATGAAAGGTCGTCAAGAGAGAGTTATACTCTTACTCCTGGAGCTACAGGATATGATTACCTGAAGTCTGTTGATGGTGAAGTCGCTGCCACGTTCCAGGAAGCTGCCAGCCGACGAGGTCTGTTGGAGAATGACATGGAATGGATGCACTGTTTCGACGAAGCCTTGCAGTGGCAAATGCCTTGCGAGTTGAGGCAGCTATTTGCCGTGGTCTTGGTATGGGGATCTCCGAGTCGACCGGTGTAATTGTGGGAGAGAGTGGTCAAGGTCAAGGTGAGGATGTGATCAGTGTGGCTTAGACTGGGATCGCCGCAAACCTGTTCCCTGGAGGCACTACTGCCCACTGCCGATTCAGACTGCCGGTCGATTTGGATTCCTCCTCTACCATCCAGCTGTCTGCCCACACCCCAGAAGCCGAGGTAATCCGTCGTGCCAAGATCATCATATGGGATGAGGCTCCCATGGTATCCGGTAAAGCATTGGAAATCATCGAAGCCGGACTGAGAGACCTCAGGCAATCCGACGAACGATTTGGTGGCAACGTCATGCTATTGGGTGGTGACTTCCGTCAAGTTCTGCCTGTGATTCAGCGTGGCTCAAGTCAACGAATGTCTGAAGCGCTTCAGTCTGTGGCGTTACTTCACTACCATGCGGCTTGAGAGGAGCATGTGTGTGAACGAAGACTAAGAAGACTTCTTCAGATGACTCTTAGAACTAGGTGATGGACGACTGCCTTCTGAGAACGAGGAGATAATGATCCCATCTCAGACCATTATTGTCCCTGAGGATTTGGTCAAGAATGTCTTTGGAGAGCGTATACCGCTTAGAGGTCAAGACTCGCCGTATGACAATGTGATTCTTTGTCCTATCAACGACTCGAGCCTGACCTTGAACAACGACATCATTGGGGGTATGTAACGTCCGGCGCAAAACTACCTCAGCATTGAGAAGGCCATCGTGGAGCAGGGTGAAGATCCGACTCTGTATCCTTAAGTGTTTCTGCATTCCCTAACTCCCAATGGCCTCCCTCCACACAAGCTTACTCTAAAAGTTGGAGCTGTGGTCATGCAGCTTCGCAATCTGGATGTTAATTAGGGGCTCTGTAATGGCGCAATAATGGTTGCGATGAGCTTGCACTACCGTGTCTTGGACTGCCAGCTCATGACAGGTGCTGTTTAAAAAAAATTGTGTGCTGATTTCTCGGATTAAGCTTGAGCCTACTGAAGCTTAAGCTTGAGCTTCCTTTCAGGTTTACTCACCTCTAGTTCCCAGTTCGCCCCGCTTTTGTAATGACCATCAACAAGTCCCAGAGGCAGACTTTCCAACATAGTTGATGTTATGCTGGAGCAGCCTGTCTTCAGTCACGGACAGTCGCATGTCGCGTTGTCCTGAGTTTGCTCCTTCGACTCTCTCCGTATCAAGTTACCGAGCGGCCAGAGTCGCACTAAGAACATTGTCTATCGTGAAGTACTCCATCAATGACCTGAGGATCGTGTTAGCTTTTGAATTTTTGTGAATTAAGTTATTATCGTACCGCTTAGTCTTTATCACATGGCTTTGGGGATTTAATCGCCTCTCGGAGCAAAAGAGTCGCGTAGCGACGTGAGGGCAGCTAGTATTAACTACCCTATTACATTTTGAGGTGAGAGCTGGCATTCGTGTGCAGGGTTTGAACCTAATTAGGAGTCGCGATGGAAATCTCAATCAATTGAATGACGAATAATTGCAAAAAAAATTGATACAAGAAACGTTCATTAGCAGCATCCGAATTCCAAAATTTCCCGCATGTTTGCAGATGAAAACGGCTGTTGAAACTTTGAGGACGTGTTAAAGTAAGACAGGATTTAGTTTTGACGAGCGTGCTGGGTCTTCAATCAGCGTTCATCGCCATCGTCTCCTCGATCCACTCCATGAACCTGATGGGAATGAAGAGCCATTAGAGGGCTTCAATTGTTCGATTTGGATTCCTCCTCTACCATCCAGCTGTCTGCCCACACCCCAGAAGCCGAGGTAATCCGTCGTGCCAAGATCATCATATGGGATGAGGCTCCCATGGTATCCGGTAAAGCATTGGAAATCATCGAAGCCGGACTGAGAGACCTCAGGCAATCCGACGATTTGGTGGCAACGTCATGCTATTGGGTGGTGACTTCCGTCAAGTTCTGCCTGTGATTCAGCGTGGCTCAAGTCAACGAATGTCTGAAGCGCTCCAGTCTGTGGCCTTACTTCACTACCATGCGGCTTGAGAGGAGCATGTGTGTGAACGAAGACTAAGAATACTTCTTCAGATGACTCTTAGAACTAGGTGATGGACGACTGCCTTCTGAGAACGAGGAGATAATGATCCCATCTCAGACCATTGTCCCTGAGGATTTGGTCAAGAATGTCTTTGGAGAGCGTATACCGCTTAGAGGTCAAGACTCGCCGTATGACAATGTGATTCTTTGTCCTATCAACGACTCGAGCCTGACCTTGAACAACGACATCATTGGGGGTATGTAACGTCCGGCGCGAAACTACCTCAGCATAGAGAAGGCCATCGTGGAGCAGGGTGAAGATCCGACTCTGTATCCTGAAGTGTTTCTGCATTCCCTAACTCCCAATGGCCTCCCTCCACACAAGCTTACTCTGAAAGTTGGAGCTGTGGTCATGCAGCTTCACAATCTGGATGTTAATTAGGGGCTCTGTAATGGCGCAATAATGGTTGCGATGAGCTTGCACTACCGTGTCTTGGACTGCTAGCTCATGACAGGTGCTGTTTAAAAAAAATTGTGTGCTGATTCCTCGGATTAAGCTTGAGCCTACTGAAGCTTAAGCTGGAGCTTCCTTTCTGGTTTACTCGCCTCTAGTTCCCAGTTCGCCCCGCTTTTGTAATGACCATCAACAAGTCCCACAGGCAGACTTTTCCACATAGTTGGTGTTATGCTGGAGCAGCCTGTCTTCAGTCACGGACAGTCGCATGTCGCGTTGTCCTGAGTTTGCTCCTTTGACTCTCTCCGTATCAAGTTACCGAGCGGCCAGAGTCGCACTAAGAACATTGTCTATCGTGAAGTACTCCATCAATGACCTGAGGATCGTGTTAGCTTTTGAATTTTTGTGAATGAAATTATTATCGTACCGCTTAGTCTTTATCGCATGGCTTTGGGGATTTAATCGCCTCTCGGAGCAAAAGAGTCGCGTAGCGACGTGAGGACAGCTAGTATTAACTACCCTATTACATTTTGAGGTGAGAGCTGGCATTCGTGTGGAGGGTTTGAACCTAATTAGGAGTCGCGATGGAAATCTCAATCAATTGAATGAGGAATAATTGCAAAAAAATTTGATACAAAAAACGTTCATTAGCAGCATCCGAATTCCAAAATTTCCCGCATGTTTGCAGATGAAAACGGCTGTTGAAACTTTGAGGACGCCAATTTCATTCTGTCCTAAATCAAAACTGCTCGCACGACCCAGAAGTTAGTCGCAAGTAGCGGTAGCAGAGGAGCTAGGTGAGGTACTTGGACTACCCTTACTTCTCGGTAATCTCCCGAAGTTAACTCACTAGACCATTCAGAGTGAAAATAAGCAACAAAAGAGCTAGCATAAAAAATTCAACATCAACGTCCCAGCGTTTGCCCACTAGTGCATTAAAGAAAGGGAAAATGTTGGTCATTGTGTCCCTACCGCTCGGCATGTGGCACGTTCCCGGTGAGGTTCTTCCCCGCATTTGCCTCATAGTCGCCCAACCGATTTACCTTGAATTGCCTCTCCTCAAAACCCCCTGGCAGCACAACACGTTGAACCTACGCTGGCTTTAAGTAGGAGAGTGTGAACCGCAAACGTCACCGGTCGGGTACATGAGTAGCGGTGATGAAGTCATCGTAAACAGGTTCGACACCGGCTCGGTTGATAGAGTCAATAAGCTTGCATGTTCCAAAGAGGTTAACTGTGCCCTAGATATAACTCAATATAAGTGGTGCAAAAATGATCACGATTTCAGAGGTATTGAGTAGTGGCTCGTTAGAAATGTCCAGTACTTTTTGGCGGCACCTGATATTTTTCCACAGTGAAGGAGAAGATTATGGAATTCCTCGAAGCATTTGTTTAACCCTTTGGGGCCCGAGCATTTTGGATAAGTCAGCAATGTCATCCAAGTTTTTTCCATCCCTCATCGTGAGACTAATACGAGATAACTCGGGTCTAGACACCAAAAGGTTAAAGGGGTCACCTCAGAGATTTTACTTGGCAAGTCATTCCAGAGTTGGATAAGTATCAGACGGTTCATCCCCATAGGCCTAATATTAAAGTTGAGGTGTAAGTTGCTTATTTTCAATGCAGGTTTTATGCTTGCCAGTATCAATCAAATACTGAGATGGTGAGCGCCAAATTTTTTTTAACGTTTTGGAATGTTTGAGGCAGAAAAACTCTTTCTAAAATACACAATTCTCTTTCCTGACATTCAAGCTCCTTGACAAGTCTCATAAATTGGGACGACAGAAGAGAAATGGGAAGTCTCGTCTCACCGATGCACCTTGGTGAAGACGCCGAACTGGCCTGGGAGCAGATCAGAGCAATTTTGACTTTCATTTTTATATATATGGCTCAATATTCCCTCAATGATCCAGGGACTTCTTTCCAGATCAGGGAACATAGGGAAGACCATACCACTCCCCGAATCCCCCTTGCATACCGTCTCATATCCTGGGAGGAAAAATTCCGCTCACTCCTAATATTCAAATTACATGACATGCAGATACTTTAAAAAGGGTTACATTCTTTACTCGTGGCAGAGCTGCTCATGCTTTCATGGGAAAATGAATGAAATATCGATGTCAGTCATCAGCAGAAAAATCGCATTCATCTTGAATCATGCGCTTTCTCCTTGGATACACTTTTCCAATCGTGTTTAACTAAAGTCCTCGAAAAGCGGACTGTTACACACGGTTGGGATGATTTAGGTTTTACCTAATATTCTCGGGGCGACGGAGTAATAGAGGGTCCTACTTGTATGATTCTCTCCTAGCTGTCCAGCGCAAAAGAGGGTGTCAACGAGGTTAGGTGATTGTCTTGTGACATCCTTGGTATAGCGCGAACAAGTGAGTGCAGATTGGACTTGAAGTTCAACGTTTCTTAAGACACGAGATGGGGAATTTGAGCCGTCGAGACCCCAACCTGCCACCTACCATCGAAACAACGATTAGTAACAAGTGATTAAAAGAATGGGATACCAAAGTGGGTCATCCTTGCTCACCCGTCCTTTCCTTTCGTGATCTACATTGTGCTGCGATAGGTATTCCTGGGTGGGCAGGCAGACCAGCTGAACTCCTTCCGTCAATTTAGCTGGTTCCTCGAGTTTCAACAGGGCAATGTCCGATTGGAATCTCTGCTGCCTGTTCCTGGGGTGTGGGAAGACCTGTGCCACCTGCATGCACGTGCCACGAATGTCCATCTGGGATCGGAAATGAAGGAGTGAGGAAATCGATTGGGTGCCCGACCTTACACTTCTGCACGAGTCCATCGTCCCTGGAGTCATTCTGATAGTGCTTGCCAAGATAGACGAGGAAGTCGTTCGGATCTCGGGCTTGGAAGAAGGGATCGTAGTTCACGACGCAATGTGCTGCTGTGAGAACCCATTGTTCTCGTATCAAAGCCCCTCCACAATTGATCAATTCCTCATCCTTAACGTAGATGGCCACCTGCCATGGCCACTCCCCGATGGGCGCTTCCTTCCCTCGCATCGTGTGAATCGGACGTGTTACCGACTTAGGAACTTCCCTCTTACTTCCACATCCTATACCAGCGTCAGGAGGAACCCCGCATGAAATTCAATCGCAAAACGAAAACTACAACGACCAGAGAAAGACACTCTGCGGAGGACGGACCAGGTTCGCAGAAGGGGGCAGGCTCCGTCCATTCTTGATTCTTTCCACAAGTGCGGACCAGGAGACCTCTCAGGAAGTAATATTTATCGCAGGAATATTTCACTTTAGTTCCAATCTGGTATTTTCCTCCTCGAAAACATTCTGTGTTGTTGAATGTCTCTTCTATTCGATCAGGTCTGCGAGAGAAGCACACGTCATCTTCTTGTGAATACTGAAAGTGAGCGTTATTTAGTATCGGAAAAAGCCTATTTCGATATTTCAACGTTATTGAATAATTGGGGCGCTACGTAAGAGTGCTATGTAAACTTACTGGATGCATGCCTCTTTAAATAGTCAAGCGTGCTAACTTTTCATATTAAAATGGATGTCCTATGAGGAGAATGGGAATAGAAGTGGTGTCACAATCAATCAACATCTGTTCGGGCCACTGAAAGAGTCATTAATTGATTGCAAACCGAATGTGACGATGTAGCGATCGGACAGTGTAGAAACTGTCGAAGGACAGGAATAACGTGGCAAATTATTCGAATGCTGAGTAAAATTCGCGTATTCCAAACGTGCGAAAAATCAAGTGCCTTTACTCANGTTGAACCTACGCTGGCTTTAAGTAGCAGAGTGTGAACCGCATTGCAGTGGCCAGCCCATGTACTCATCGCCACTACTTCAGTAGCATTTGTCCAAGCTGTGGCCGAGCCAACTATCTCAGTTATTCGAACGTACAAGGTTTCTCCAATTGACACGGGATCTATATTGAAAATATAAGTGGTGCAAAAATGACCACGATTTCAGAGGTATTGAGTAGTGGCTCGTTAGAAATGTCCAGTACTTTTTGGCGGCACCTGATATTTTTCCACAGTGAAGGAGAAGATTCTGGAATTCCTCGAAGCATTTGTTTAACCCTTTGGGGCCCGAGCATTTTGGATAAGTCAGCAATGTCATCCAAGTTTTTTCCATCCCTCATCGTGAGACTAACACGAGATAACTCGGGTCTAGACACCAGAAGGTTAAAGGGGTCACGTCAGAGATTTTACTTGGCAAGTCATGGATAAGTCATGGATATGTCAGAGCTGGATAAGTATCAGACGGTTCATCCCCATAGGCCTAATGTTAAAGTTGAGGTGTAAGTAGTTGTTTGCTTATTTTAAATGCAGGTTTTATGCTTGCCAGTATCAATCAAATACTGAGATGGTGAGCGCCAAATTTTTTTTTAACGTTTTGGAATGTTCGAGGCAGAAAAACTCTTTCTAAAATACACAATTCTCTTTCCTGACATTCAAGCTCCTTGACAAGTCTCATAAATTGGGACGACAGAAGAGAAACGGGAAGTCTCGTCTTACCGATGCACCTTGGTGAAGACGCCGAACTGGCCTGGGAGCAGATCAGAGCAATTTTGACTTTCATTGTGATATATATGGCTCAATACTCCCTCAATGATCCAGGGACCTCTCTCCAGATAAGGGAAAATAGGGAAGACCATACCACTCCCCGAATCCCCCTTGCATACCGTCTCATATTCTGGGAGGAAAAATTCCACTCACTCCTAATATTCAAATTACATGACATGCAGATACTTTAAAAAGGGTTACATTCTTTACTCGTGGCAGAGCTGCTCATGCTTTCATGGGAAAATGAATGAAATATCGATGTCAGTCATCAGCAGAAAAATCGCATTCATCTTGAATCATGCGCTTTCTCCTTGGGTACACTTTTCCAATCGTGTTTAACTTAAGTCCTCGAAAAGCGGACTGTTACACACGGTTGGGATGATTTAGGTTTTACCTAATATTCTCGGGGCGACGGAGTAATAGAGGGTCCTACTTGTATGATTCTCTCCTAGCTGTCCAGCGCAAAAGAGGGTGTCAACGAGGTTAGATGATTGTCTTGTGACATCCTCGGTATAGCGCGAACAAATGGGTGCAGATTGGACTTGAAGTTCAACGTTTCTTAAGACACGAGATGGGGAATTTGAGCCGTCGAGACCCCAACCTGCCACCTACCATCGAAACACCGATTAGTAACAAGTGATTAAAAGAATGGGATACCAAAGTGGGTCATCCTTGCTCACCCATCCTTTCCTTCCGTGATCTACATTGTGCTGCGATAGGTATTCCTGGGTTGGCAGGCAGACTAGCTGAACTCCTTCCGTCAGCTTAGCTGGTTCCTCGAGTTTCAACAGGGCAATGTCCGCTTGGAATATCTGATGCCTGTTCCTGGGGTGTGGGAAGACCTGTGCCACCTGCATGCACGTGCCACGAATGTACTTCATCTGGGATCGGAAATGAAGGAGTGAGGAAATCGATTGGGTGCCCGACCTTACACTTCTGCACGAGTCCATCGTCCCTGGAGTCATTCCGATAGTGCTTGCCAAGATAGACGAGGAAGTCGTTCGCATCTCGGGCTTGGAAGTAGGGATCGTAGTTCACGACGCAATGTGCTGCTGTGAGAACCCATTGTTCTCGTATCAAAGCCCCTCCACAATCGATAACTTCCTCATCCTTATCGTAGATGGCCACCTGCCATGGCCACTCCCCGATGGGCGCTACCTTCCCTCGCATCGTGTGAATAGGACGTTTTACCGACTTAGGAACTTCCCTCTTACTTCCACATCCTATACCAGCGTCAGGAGGAACCCCGCATGAAATTCAATCGCAAAACGAAAACTACAACGACCAGAGAAAGACACTCTGCGGAGGACGGACCAGGTTCGCAGAAGGGGGCAGGCTCCGTCCATTCTTGATTCTTTCCACAAGTGCGGACCAGGAGACCTCTCAGGAAGTAATATTTATCGCAGGAATATTTCACTTTAGTTCCAATCTGGTATTTTCCTCCTCGAAAACATTCTGTGTTGTTGAATGTCTCTTCTATTCGATCAGGTCTGCGAGAGAAGCACACGTCATCTTCTTGTGAATACTGAAAGTGAGCGTTATTTAGTATCGGAAAAAGCCTATTTCGATATTTCAACGTTATTGAATAATTGGGGCGCTACGTAAGAGTGCTATGTAAACTTACTGGATGCATGCCTCTTTAAATAGTCAAGCGTGCTAACTTTTCATATTAAAATGGATGTCCTATGAGGAGAATGGGAATAGAAGTGGTGTCACAATCAATCAACATCTGTTCGGGCCACTGAAAGAGTCATTAATTGATTGCAAACCGAATGTGACGATGTAGCGATCGGACAGTGTAGAAACTGTCGAAGGACAGGAATAACGTGGCAAATTATTCGAATGCTGAGTAAAATTCGCGTATTCCAAACGTGCGAAAAATCAAGTGCCTTTACTCACATTTGTTATGACTCTCCTCGTGAAATCACTAGTGAAGGAAGAATTAAACTTACCTCCGCCTACCGTCACGGCAAGATAGAATCGTGAAGTGTCCACGGTGAATGCCGGGGAGTGCTTCACAGCCGTTCGCCTCCACCTGCAACATCAATTAGGGACCCTACTGGGCATGTCATGGAAAGCATAGCAGAAAACAGTCTTACGCATCCACGGCAAGGAGGGATTTGTGCATCGGAGCTGACGCAGCACACTTGAGAGGCTCTCGGACAAGCGAAGTACGTGTTGAGAGTACCCTCATCACAGAAACATGCATATTCGGCTTCGATGCATCTCAGGCCGGCGAGACCGGTCGGACATCGAGGACGTTCCGGACACGTCAACGTGTCGTTGCGGCATTTCTTCAGAAATTTCAACAGGCCTGGGTCCGTCAAATCTCTCCCATCGGTGCACTTCGCTTCGTGGATATTACTCAGTAATTGAGGAGCGAACGCCAGCCAAGCCAAATTGCAATCACACCGAATAGGATTGGCTGGAAACGAAGACCAAAGAATGTAAAGAGATGAAGGGATGGGAGGAGACTCGAGAAGTCGCCTCGCGCCGTCGGAACCGTCCAAACTCACACTTGAGACCCAGGAAGCCCTCTCCCAAGGACATCACCTCCAGCAAGGGGCGGAAGATGGCTTCATCCAATGTTGCGATGTTGTTTTCAGCGAGTATCACCTCTGAGTCGGCCGTGAGACCTGGAATAAGTATTGCGAGTGCCGATCGAAAATTTTCCAAAACTTAATTTCACTGCTCTCCCTCTTCCCCATCCTCTGCTCAACCTTTGGACGTTTCCTGTGTAGAGTTCAATTTTTAACAGCAAAATTTTCATTTTCTGATTCTAAACGATTTTGGGAATGAGAAAAAGAGAAATGCATTGCTTGTTCCGATTGCTTTGCCATGATTGTCAAATATCAGTTATTTTTAAAAAGAACGCGTTTTAAAGGTTAAATGAAAGTCCAGCGACCGCGATTAGGAAAATTACTTTCATAATATCGGTACCTAATCGCTAAAAGGGCACCCGATAATTTTTTTAAACAGAATATTTGAGTATTTGGCATTGGGGTGTTCAGTTTATCATGCTGCATTTCCTGCCAAAAGGACATTTGCCTGTCTTTCGCCGTTTAGGGATTATGGGGTTCTAAACGGGGATTCGAGCTGATCGGACTTCAAAAATCGTATTTTTTAGGAAGTTTTTTTTTCTCATGTATAATTTAAAGAAGTACTCAAATGCCTTACTTGAGGTGAGGTACCGATATGTTCCTGCTTGGTACGATTGATAGAATTTTTTTTCCTTCAAATTATGAATGACGTGGGAGTAGTCAAGGGTAAATTCGTCAACGGCTGATGCATGGTTTTGGCTGGAAATTCCCTTTCTTAACTCCCTTTAGCTAAGCTACCTCGTATATGTTTAGCTGAGCTATAGATATATCTCTTAGCTAAATAGTGGCTAAGTCAAAGTTCTCCGTTACATTCCCCCACTCCCCCCCGCATAGGATTTTGACTTGAGATAGAACCTTTGATGGCTCTTGGCTCCAATCGAGAGATGCCGTTACTCCAGAGCACCACCCACTTGAAGGCCTTGCTGCGGAATTCCAACAGCCCGCTCGAGAGCGTGGGTCCCAGACTGCACCCAGAACAAAAGAACTCTTCCAGTTTCTCCATGCTCTTGATCACTCTGAGTGGCAACTCCGACAAGGGATTGTAACCTTTAAAGTCGGAGAGAAAAAGATTCGTGAGAAACGGATGAGACTGTTCTAACGGCTTAAACGAAACTCATTGGAATATAAAACTAGAGTACCAACGCCACTACTCTTTTCCATTCCAGTGGCCACTATACCGCTGCAGTTGGCTTCCTCCGTCGCATCATAGGCATAACAACGTTTTAGGAATAATGTTGTCACTCGTACGTCGTTGGACAAGGTGAATAGTCCCGGATAAAAGGAGAGAGTCTTCGATGGCTCGCGCGTCTGCGTCACATGGAGACATGAGGAGGGGAAAACGTGTAAGATGAAAAATACAGCATTTTACGAGTTCAGCCATCTCGACATCTTCAATGGAGAAGCAAAGGCTTCATTGTTGAAGGAAACCATGGAGCAGTCTCGCCAACTCAGCTGCTGCTCGCTGTTTCAATTCGAAGTCTCTCCCTGACCAGAGCTGTATCCCTGTGCTTTGCGGTTCCATGGCTACGCCACCTTCACCGCCCCCGCCCCCCAAATTACAGATACTGCCGAGACTAGGGAGGAGGGACTTCTAAGCTTCTATCTATTCTATAAGGGATCCGTGAATTCAGGTGGGTGGGCGATGGTTCACCTCGCACTCTCACTTTTCACGACTCTTTCTGCTTCTCATCCCCTGCTTGCTCGTAATGAAGTATCAGCCTGGTCCTTAACAAATCCATCAAAGATGATCTGGATTTGCTTTCCATGTAACAGTTGATCTTTCATTGGGACTGCTCAGGCGATTGAAAACGATGACGATTGAGAAACCAATAAATTGTTTTTTTATAATCTTCAATCCAGACCATTTTTTCATGCTGGGGTATAACCACCCAAGTTCGGACAGTACCTAAGTTCGGAAATTGTAACAAGCATTGTTAAAAAACTCGCGAGGCCGCTTTCAGAAATAGTTATTCCAATCGCGAGATGAACACTTTACTGAGCGAAGGACAAGCGGTGGTGATGAAGACTTTGCGCGATTCTAAGATATGGGACTGGTCAATGCGTTATCGCGAACAGGGGAGTCCTACGAGAAACCGTAAGGAGAGAACATTACTTTTAAAACCTTTCGCACCTGACATTGTTGTTTTCTGCGCTCAATTCTTACTTGCCAGGAAACTGAGAGGACATACAAGTCCCGTTAAGCAGAATGCACGTGCCTTCATCAGATTATTGTATTACGTTCGATGTGTCTGAACTTAGGTAAGGAAATGTTTGAGAAACTTATGTTCGGACATACATCCATGCGTGTCATATTCGCGTAAATATGATGTCTTCTATTGAGGGAAAAACCGCCTAGAGTTGACGAAGTTGAGTCTTGCTTTTCGGGGAACGTGTTTTTTGAGCCCTGTCCGAGCTTTCATAGTGGGACATGTAACGTCGGACACCGTCAAACACATAGTAAAAATGCAGCATCATATGTTTCTTCGCACACCTAAGTGTGCGGCCTGCCTCCAAAGCAGTGATATCATGGTAGGAGGTTGGAATGTAAGGGATTATCGACCCGAGGCCGCTTTAACTTTAGTAACATATGGAAAAAATGTGCCTCTAGGAGTTCTACCTCCAAAATTCGGAGTGGGGATGTGTCCCTGAGGTTGGATATTTTCTGAGTTAAGCATGCAGATAAATACTTGACTATTGAATGGAACAAACTGTTCCTGCTCGTTCTGCTTTAAAAACAATTTCGAGTATGACCCAAATAGAAAATGTGTATCCAAGGAATTAACCAAAAGAGAAGGATATTTTCAAAAATTAGCGACTGGAGAGAAACTTAGGTTCCAAATTCCAGGTTTCTATATCCACCAGCACCCGATAGCAAATCATATCAAAATATATGGCTCCCCCGAAATTACCCCTAAAAACATAAATTCCGGAAGAAGGATTTTCCCTTATGACTGCATACCAGCAGGTACTTATTTAAGGTTTCAACCTTATGTCTCCATGATTCCCAGGAACGAAATAATTTTTTTTGGAAGGGTCCACCCTAAAAGGTGCCCCCAGGTAATCCATCCCAAAATCAGGTGTTTTGCCTGGAATCTGTTTCTCAATTAGTACCGATGCCCCAAGTTTCAGTTTCTATGTCTCTCTGTTTTGTTAGCGCAAAAAATTATGAAGATGCGCCTCTTAAAAAAAAATCTGCACAATCAGAGCTTTTCGAGTACCAAGGTTTGATCATTTTATCTCCAGAACACAGAATGAAAGTCAGTCGCTCACTCACTCAATCACAATCTTCCTATACTGGAACATTGAGAAAAGGTCCACTACTTTGAGAGTGGGCTATCCATCCTTTGCATCACAATCAAGTGTTTCAAGCCTCATTGAGAATTTAAAATCCGAACTAAGGTGAAAGTGTCCGAACTTGACTCTTTCCACATTTAAGCTTGGACATCACATTATTGGCAATATCAGAAGTCACAATGCTACAACACCTTTGTATCACTTATGTGTCGTGTCGTGCTCCCAGGAACAATAAATGAAGCTTCCAGGGTGTACCGTTGAGATTGAACAAGCAAATAATGATGCTTGACCAGCTTAACTGTCCGAAAATTGGTAGTTTTACCCTTTGAGTCCGTTCTGTCGGAAAGCAGAACTCTTCAATTTAAACAAAGATGACTTTGACATCCTCGATTCTGGTCGAGGATGTATGCAAACATTTTCCGTTGAACTTTCCCAACGTTGAAAAATCAGTTGAGCATGAAACCGAATATCAGATTCCCTAATATATGCCATCTCCGAGAAGCTAACTGGCTAGTTTGCAAAAGACTGCTGGTTACGGCGAACGAACGGCTCAATTCATATTCTTTACTTCAACGGGCTTTAAGTCTGAAGAAAAAAATCCTTGCACTTAGTAATTCTTCCATAGACCGGAAATAAAGCAGGTATCTTCTTCCTTTTACGCAGTCACTATGCGTGTGTGGGTTTAATTTTGGAAGAAAATGAGAAGAAAGAGAGACGCTATTATAAACGGAAAATAATCATTTGTATATGACACAAACTCACCAATGTTGAATTCGGTGACGTTGGGAGTCGCCCAACCGTCTTGCTCCACTCTCTTGATGTTATTTGTCGAGAGACAGAGTATATCGAGGCTCTTGCTGTGAATGGCCGGAACTGAGCTCAGCGAATTACCATAGAGCCAGAGTCTTTTAAGGCGGGGGAATTCCGGTATGATATCGAAGTGAAACGACTTCAAGCGGCTATGATGAACGGAGATGTTCACGAGCTCGGATTTGAAGGGGAGGATGGCCATCGGATCGATCCTCTCCAAGGCACTGTCGCGCACGATTATTTGCTCGAAGGAGAGGTCGCCAAAGATCCATTCGGGCAGTTCCTTTACTCCCGTGTTACCCTCCATCCAGAATCGCCTATTAAGAAGAAGATGAGAGAAAAGTTACTTCCTGCTCCCATTAAACCAGTTGATTTCACTTGCTCTTTTCCGTTTCATTTCATATTCGAGTATCATTTCTAACCAATTGTAATCAATTGATGTCGAGAATTTAGCTAAATATTTTAAAATACATTTAACGATAACATTTATAATATATTCAGTGCTCAATAGCACCAGCATCCCTTTCCTACCTCGCACCTTCAGAAAGTTGTGGAAATTTTGTTAACTATAAATGAATGTTGCTAACGAATTCGTCGCATTACCTAATTCAACTAATTCAACAATTTAGCCATGATAAGTATACTATTGAGTATTACACTTTTTATATTTTGCAGCTCGATATTTTATTTTTGAAGATTAGATTAATGTCTATAATCTAATACTTTAATTCGAAGAGGTCAAAAGTTGTGGTGGTGGGGGTCGTCGTGGCTGTCACCCCCAACGCGCGGACCTATGATGCTATGCCATTCGGGGTTATAGGCCAGGCCATCCACGGCCGAAAGCGCCAGGTCTACAAGGCTATGCCTTACCATGCCATCTCATACTTTAATTCGAAGAGCCCGAGAGTTGCGGTGGTGGTTGTCACCCCAACGCGCGAGGCCTACGAGATTAATCATTTTAGGCCATAGGCTAGGCCATCCACTCCTCAAAGAGCTAGGTCCATGAAGCTGTGCTATTTTTGGCCAAAGGCAGGACCATCCAACGCTTTTAGCGCCAGGTCCATCGGACTATATCAATCTGAGCCATAGGCTGTGGCTTATCCTATTATTTCCATAGGCTTCATACTTAGTAGCACCCTTTGATTGACTCAGCTAACTGAATGCGTGTCACGTTTTCACTGATCGACTGCAAGTTCTCTATTTGAATACAATCTTTGCTGAAGAATTTTTTCTTTATGTATTTTGTTTCGTTAGGTCAGGAGTGGCGGTTCGGGCCATCGCTTCCATGCAATCGTTTTCTGTTTGCGTTTCATGTCATGACCGATTTATTTGAATTCTCATGATTCATGAAGTCAAAATAATCTAAAAAGTCTCTGCTTCATGTGTCGCGCAAACGAGGTGCACCTCCCATCAAAATGGTGGCGATTTTTGCGAGGTGAGGTTGAACGCGAAGAAGATATGTTGAAGGAAGTCCCACAGGACGGCGATGAGGCAGTCGCTGTAGATAATAAACGATTCGTGCTGGCGCGGAAACAACGTTTGCCACTGCAGTTGCGGTGCGAAGTGCCTAAATCGGTGCTAGCCGTAATGACTAGATTTAGTGAAGAACAGCAAGCAGATGTACGTAGGGATCGTAGGGCCGCTCAGACCGCTGAACAGACCGCTGAGGTAGCGAATGCTGAGCTCCGGAATAGGAGAGCCGTGCAGCCTGCTGAGCAACTGGTGCAAGGAAGCACTCAGGAGTCGAAAGCCGGGGGGCGGCCGGGAATTGAACTCGGACTTCCTGCTTGCCGGTCGGGTGTGCTATCATTATACTACGGAACTCAGGATGTTATGCCTCTTCATGTCATCTCCATCACTACAGTCGTTTGCCGCAGCGAGCACTGTCAGGCTGTTCATTTTGATGTAGGATGGGGGCATTCGTTTCACATTGCTGGCGCAACGGAAAAATGCTTCTGCTGTAACTCACTCTTTACCCTGAGGCTCTGAAAGTGTTGCTCACTGGTGCTAATGTGGCGGCGAGGCATTTTCAGGAATTAGTCGATAGCATTCTGCCGCACATGCACTAACTTCCCCTTGTGGCGTCGAACAAGTTCTTGGAAATGGCCTGAACTGTTTCAGAATCATTGGTGTCTGTACCATACGCTAACGCTAATACCCCATGCGCTAATCGGTGATGCAAGAGTATTGAATGTGCTAGGAAGACGAAATTAGCAAAATCGTCTTGAGTCTCGTGAGAACCTGCTAAACCGAGGCGTTCATAATGGCGATTGTGGCAATAAGCTCGAATATCATGATGATGGCGTTTAGGAACAGAATCTCCCTGTGTACTGTAAGCTAAAAGTGTATAAATGTAATGAAGCGGTTCAGTTCCGAATGGGTAATGCGATGTACAGAGGATTGTCAAGGAGACGTTATGCTCACAGTAGACGATTCAAATGTTCACCTATTAGACGGCCAGCGTAGCGGCCGCAGGCCGCTAGTCTGAAGTATAACTTGCAATCGAACATTTGCAGTATATAGGGAACTAGCAAGGCCACCGCTCGTGTCTCAGTCATATTAGTACTGACACAATTTAACAATATGTGCGTGTGCGCTAATACTTTTTACAAAGAAAATCAACGTGGTATACCGGGTTGATTTTTCTCTTTTGTCTTTTGCGCACTTCCGTTATAATAACGGAAGTGCCCAAAATACCATGGCGGGAGGTATTGCGTAGTTTTTTTGGAGCCGAAGGTTCAGCGAGGTCTCCATTTGACAAGCGACACCTCTTCAGGCGAGGGGAGTCTGGAGTCAAGCGGCGCCACGCGACTTTGGCTCGAGGTCAAGGTCACGAAGTTTAACCCACGTATCGTCATGCGCGACAATGTGCGACAGGAATTCGGGACACAAGTCGGCTCGGCCGATGCGGTCTTCAGACGTTACCTCGCGAGTCCTTTTCCGGTCGTTCGTCCGTCATGAAAGAATCCTGCACGCACTGAAAATTTACTGCTAAGTCTTGATAGATATCGTGTGAGATGGAACTGACCTGCTAATTGGTTCAAAATGATCCTTATCAGGTCGACCACTTTTACCCTAGCACAGAACTTGAATTAAGTTCGCACGCGGGTCAAATGACTCCATTGCGACAGTTTCGCTGAGAGCGCTATGACCGTTACCGCGTATACCCAAACGCTACTGCGCAGTTCGACGACGATGCCTCTGTAGCACTGTAAGTACTTAAGAAAGCGTGGTAGTAACGATTTCGATCTAGTGTTGACGGATTTTGGTTGGTAAAAAATAGCAGAAATTTTTGTCAGTGGCAATTTCCAAAATGTTTTTACCATGAATTAACCTCATTTCTCCCTCTAACCTCCGACAGAAGAAAAGGGGGCGACACTCTCTCTGCGCCTGCCGAACTTCTCGTCCTTGAGTTGGAAGGCGGGAAGAAGACTGTGACTAACCAGAGTCGAGAGGAGGGCCAATCGGCGCTCTCCAGTGCCAAGGAGATCTCAGCACTCGTCCTGGCTCTCGTACAATCCACCTCCACACCCTCGAGGTATTCGTTGCAAGTGCACGGGGAGATCTCTCCGGTCGGACATGCTTCTCGGGTGGCCGGAGATACCAAAAGATCAGAGAAAGACAAGGAATGCGAATGATCGGTTCAGAGTAGGATTCGCCAAGGGAACGAGGATTTCTGGTTCTGGGATCGTTAATTTGGTCGGTTTGATACATCTAAACGGATTTTTTCCAGGAAACTGTAGAAACGGTTACTTCGACAACGGTGACGTTCCCAAACGGCCTGTTGCCTTACCGGCACTCGTATCGTCGATTCCACGTTGAAGTAACCGCGCCGCGGAGGTGGCACGGATCGCAGCCCAAGTCTGGCGACTAACGATGCCGTCAGGAACCAGACCTTGACGCCCTTGGAACGCCACGACCGCCGCCTCGGTGTCCGGACCGAAGATGCCGTCCGCCTCGACTCCGACCGCTCGTTGCACTTCTTGAACGCAGGGGCTACGGGCACCTCTGCTCAACGTTTCGTCGCAGACATACTCTGCCGGTTTCGAAGGGAGAGAGCACGGGAAAGAAACCGACTGGCATTCTCAAGTGTTTTCCATGTTCTTCTCTTCGGCTTTCACACCCTAGCACTAAAAACAAATTTACACGCTAATTCCCACAAACCTACCCGAGTTCCATGGATGCACGATAATGACGACTGCATAGTACCCAAAACAGGATTAGAGTACTCATCGGAAGGCGCCGTGCCTATTTGGGTGGTTACCTTATCTGCAAATCGTATGAAGTATTGCATACCATGATTAAAAAAAAGGGGTCAGCCCAAAGGAAACTAATACATTTTACGTTCCTCTTATGATTTTTTGCTTCCACAGCTTCCTTCCTTTTTCAACAGGTTTAAAAATGCCACATGTAGCGATCAGTTTCTCAATTTTTAAATTATATTAAATCCATCCGTCCATTAATACACATGCTTCACGTGTATTAATGAACTTGTGGGTGAAACACACTCGCATTTGCCGTGCAATGGAAGCGAATGCACACAGTCTCTTCGAGAGGCTCGTGCCGTGTGATTCAAGGTGATTCGTCGTTCGGTCATTGTTTACGCTGGAGTCTCAAGAGTTCCATTCGATTGTCGTTAAGCCGTGCCCCAAAATTAAATGACGTTTTTGATGGTTCTCTCATGCCTGACATGTACAAGCTTGGTGGGGAGGACATCTTGCTTTTTCTAGATGGATTCCGAAAGCCAGGAAAGTCTTGGATCGAGCCGAAATAAGCAGGACAATTGTTAAGCTCAGGAAGAGAGTTGGGAAATGCGTAAGTTAAGTCCGGTCCTTTCTCAAACTTTCTGCAATTGCTGACGATTTATTGCAGTGATTAATTGAGAGCGAAATTAAATACACGCCGAGTTATGTGAGCTGCAGAGGCAGAGACACGTGCAAATACCTACTCATCCAAAGGTATGTAAGCTTCCTGCAATTTGCTCCTTAGCTCGATAGTTTTCGGGCTAACGAGGACTGAACTCACCGTCGCTCGAGGACGCGAAGGCGGCGAGGCCCAAGAGAAGCAATGACGCTGCCGTCCGGCGAAACATCGCGGAGTCCGTCGAGCCCGACGACGTGCTGTTGGACGAGGAGGATGCGACGCTTTTTAATATCGGCCGTGGTTGGTTCCCACGTTGACTCTTGCTCCTCATTTTTTATTTAAAATGACAACTGCTGTAGTTAAAAGATGACATGGGGAAATGGGTGGGTGATTTTGCAGCTGCCTTACTAACTAAAGGGACGTGAGACTCTTAATGCTGTCGCTCAGAAGCTGTTCGTTCCGCGCATCTGCATGCCAAGGCGAGGTTGTCGATGAGGTTTGAGGAAAAGCTGCAGCTTCGAGATGCGCCCATGTGGCTCCAAACTCAAAAATGGGTTCATCGAGATCGAATTTCACAGCGTAATGACATTGCCCTTCGTGCCCGATTGCCGATGGCATGGGGAAAATGAATAAGCTTCATGACCCGTGTAATTTCGGGTGTGTGGTTTCCAATGAACGAGGAAAAGTGATTTAATTTTCGTCTAAAATGCAGTCACAAACAACCATCTCGATAGGAACGAAAGCGATCCTCCGTTTACCCTGAAGACCCTTAAACGCTCCCAATCGAGTTCTGGTTCCTCTTTCTTGCGCTTCACCTCCTAACAGCTGGTCTGCTCCGAGCTACGGCTACTTTTTGGCCTGCTTGCCTTCAAAGTAAGTGTGACAACTTTTCGCCACTCCCCATTGCTTCATCATCTCCGCTAGGCATCTTCCTCACCCCTCATCGCTCACATCAGCTAATACTGAGGTGCAGCATTTTTCCACTGAGGTTCGAAAGGGGGTACACATTTTGGGGGGGAAACGTTTTTCTTAAACATATTTTGTGACAGATGAGGATGGCATTTTTTCCGCCAGCAAAAAGGGAAACGTATAAAGCTGAAACTGGGTGGCATGGAGTTCCCTGAGTCTACATTTCAGAAGAAAAAAAAAATTTCGTTAAAACCCATTAGGTCACTTTTTTCAGTCCCATTTTCCTGATTTTTTTTGATCCAACGAAACAGAGACAGAAAATTTAAACTTCCCTCAGAAGTACCTGTTTGATGGCTGAGTAGAGGAAAAATCCTAATTTTGAAATGTCTCCTTAGCGTAGATTATTGGAGGGAAGTATTTCAAAATGTATTCTCCACCCTTACAAAAAGGGACACAAGAAAAGATTTCAAGTTAGGCACACATAGAACCATGAAAGTAATGATTTTGATAAAAATCAAGACTTTCGACCCCATATGTCACGTATTTCAATGGGGATGTGCTTTAAATACGTGTTTGCCATTTCGCAAAAAATGAATAAATTAATCACTATCCAAGGTAATAGAGCGCCAAATCGCGACAATGGCGAGTTTCTTTGACCTTCGGATAAACAAACTCGCTAGTACAATAAACAGTCTATAAAGAATTATTGCCTTAAAACTCTCAAGTGACTTATGTGGTTCATATGGCTGCTATAACTCCCACTTTTTTGGAGATTGACATGGAATCAAGAATGTGTCGACCATAGGCAGGAATTGAATACACCAATGGAACACTGAACGACACACTTACAATTGTTACTTGTTGATCCTCAAGCTACGAATGACATGGCGTCACAAAGAATATGTTCTAAGACACCTTTATGTTAAAGGTGCGAGAATTGAACCCATGAACAAAAGAGTTTGATCGCATTAGTAGGGGTGAGTGTCGAAAACGGATGCCTTAGATCGCAGAGCGCCGAAGGCGCCTCCATCGCTAGTATGAAATAAATATATGAGTTCCATCGCACTATTATTTTTTCTTTGATGAGAAGCATCATTTTCATGGAGAACATACTCTTTCCCCCCCCCCTTGGTTAACTAGACCTCAGAGCCCAAACTATTCAATATTTTCGAAGGCATTATTTGCAAAAATATTTAATGCAAAGCAAACGGATTTCGACTCACCGCCTCATACACACTGACGCAAATGATCAGAGTGCCACTCTGAATGGTGACTGCATCGTGTCTGTGTGTCTGAGAGCGGACGCCATGCTTACGAACGCGTCGACGAGCCGGATTCTCTGCAGGCATCATGATGACAAGGGACGTTGTCATCTGTTTCGTCTTGAGACTGTCAAGGCCCTCCCGTCCGATTACAATTATTTCATCCTTGACAAACTTCATTTCTGGAAGAAAGTTTTAAGACGCTCTCCTGAGGAAGCAACTTTGCGTTTACATATTTTTCTGGTTTGAAAGTCCTTTCAATGAACCAGGCGCAATAATTTGTCGCAGATTGGTATTAGGGTCTCTAAAGCGGAGAAACTTCGTTCAGGAAACTCCCACTCTGTTCCAGAGAAGCTTGAAATACCGGAGTCAATGAGAACGAACACCATGGTTTATTTTTGAAGGCAATAGCGGTGGACCAGAGACACTCATAGGCCCACGGGATAGCATCATACTTGAAACGCACCAACTTTCATGTATGCGTGCAAGGTGATTTTTTATTCATGGGACCATTATACAGGATGGCCCAAAAAGACGTACGATTTTGAAAATTCAAGTTTTTTCGCAACGAAATATTTTTGCCAGATTTTCAAACGTATATGCATTTTGTACATATTTTTCCCTTTGTTTATTTAATTAATTAATTTATTTATTTAGATGTTTATTTTACCAATTGTTTATAAGAATGTTTGATATTTTGAATAAAGGATTTAATATTTTCCATGATTTGATTTTTCGAAATCGTACGTATTTTTGGGCTACTCTGTAAATTATAATAATTTAGGAACAAATAGAGTTAGATTCCTGAAATTTGGCATTAAAAATCCATAAACATCGGAAAGTTATGCTCGATAAAAAAAAACACGTTCAATGTTTCCTCCTCTGTGCGCATTGCATGTCGCAGGGGTGTGGTGTATTTCTGCACAACTCCCTCATGGTATGAAGGAAAATGGAATAACTTCACGTATTATGGCTGCCTTCAGGTTTCTGAACGTGCATGGATTTATCCTTGACTCTGAAACTCTGTCCTTCAGGTATCCCCAGAGAAAATAGTCACTTGGATTGAGATCGTGGCCTGCCAACACAGCGAACGTCGTGTTAGACTTCCTGCACGGGAACTCCGGTGCCAGAACGCTGTCTAGCAGACTTCCTAATCCCATATGATCCACGGCGGTGGATTAGTATGGCCACTTCCCCCCAATCTCAATCCATGTGGCTATTTCCTCAGGGGAAACATGAAGGACAAAGTCTTCGAGTCGAGGTTAAATCCATGTACGGTAGGAGACTTGAAGGCGCCACAGAACGTGAAGCAGGTATTGCTCTTCCGAGACTTTAACATGCCAAAAATAGACTGGTCGGTGCCGCAAGGGGGGATGCGAAAGAGATAGGGAATTTCTCGTTGCGGTTCAGGACGCTCTTCTCGTTCAGTACGTAAATGAGCCGACTCGCGAGGAAGCTTTATTGGATTTAGTTTTTGCGACGAACGACGATCTGGCACGAGACGTTAAGGTACAGGATAACTTGGGAGATTCGGACCACTGCGCGATCACGTGGAATATCAAGCGGACGAAGAGTAAGGCCAAACCGAAGAAGGTTTCGTACAACTATAAGAAGGCTAATTTCGAGAGACTACGTGAATGCGTCTCAGGCATCGACTGGGAGTCGCGGCTCCGTGGGCAGACGGTAGAGGAGCAGTGGGGGGCGTTCAAGACGTTATTGCAGGGCTTTATGGAGGAATGCATCCCCAAGAAATCCATGAAATCGGGCAGGCAACCGGTCTGGTTTACGGGTAAAATCAAAGCTCTCATCAGGGATAAAAAGCGGAAATATGAAGAAAATCATTGCTAATGAAGCTAATATGAAGAAAATCATTGTAATGGAATCCTTTAGACGAAACAATGAGAGTTCATGAGATCAACTACAATTTTTTGCAGACAAGTAGGACACATTTTCATTTGACCTTGGCACTAATTCATGGGAAGTGTTATAACTGGGGTATCATAGTCATCAAAAAGTGTCAGACTCAAGAGAAAAAAAAAACAACAATAACGATACCAGCAATAATGATACCAACGATAACAACAATAATGAGCAGAGATCCTCTGACTTCTGTGTGAAGAGGACGGCACCAAAATGAAAGCATTCCAGCGCATGCGCCCTCTCCTCCATCTTCCTAAAGCGGTGTTTCCCAAATGGTGTGCCACGGCACACCGGTGTGTCTCCAGTAAGGCTTAGGTGTGCCGTGAGATTTGAGAGTTGACAACAAAAAAAAACGAAAAGATTAAGGTAAAAAAAACACTTTAAAGCAAGCAGGAACGCCATCTCTCAGTGGAAAACGAGCTGAGAGTTCCACTATCACGCCTCGCATCAAACTGCTGTGTTCGACGAAGCAAGCGCAAATTTCCCATTGAAAGTAAGTAAATGGCTGGGTGTGCCGTGGAAAATTCAAGTATCCTTATGTGTGCCGCAAATAAAAAAAGATTGGGAACCACTGTCCTAAAGGATTCCCTAGCTAAGGGCCCCCCGCCACCGGTCGGACCTTTTCCTGTATTGTGCAATTTAGCACATCCAGGGGAAGATCACCTCCAAAAATGTACTGTCTCCTGCCTATACATGATACAGACACTGTATTATGCATGGAGTAGGGGGTTATACCAGTACAGGCTTCGTCCTGTAGATGAGAATGTACGAAAGGATGAAATAAATAATTCAATATTGATCGAATATCGGTCCAGGTTAGGACCAGTGAAGCCTACGCTTTTCCGTAATGCCAATATAGACCCAGATTAGGTGCCCGTGAAGCAACGTTTTTTAATCAACATTGCAGCAACATAAATCCTGAAACGTATCTGCAACGTATATGTAATGAATAAGTATCGATTTGCAACGTAAATGCAATGTTTCTTCGCAACATTTGAGTAGCGTTGACGTTTTGGACATTTACACATAGATGCAACATTGTTCATCAACATTTCCTAAACGTTGCTGGAATATCTTGTGTTACTTGGGGCGGTCCACCACTGACAGCGGGGCCCACCATACCATTAGCTCCTTAAAAAAAAAAAAGCAAAGTTAAACCATCTCGCC